AGCCCTCGTCCCTGTTGCGGTACTTGTACATGGCGTAGAGCAGGATGAGGATGCAGAGCGCCGCGGCCGCCACGATGCCCACCACCATCCCCGTGGTGCCGCCGGCTTCGCGCACCACTTCCACGGCGCCGGGGACCGCGGCTGTGGGGACAGCACCGGGACGGGCGGTCACGGGAGCTCCCGTTACCCTCCCGCGCCCCACTGAGCCCTCCCGTGGGTGCCGTTCCCCGGCGGGCACCAGCCCCGGGAGCGGAGCCGCCACCACCGTGGCCACGGTGACTGCGCCGGGAGCGGGTTGGGTGTGAGCGGAGGAGGAGCCGCGGTCGCCGCCGTCGGTGGGGCGGCGCGGGGGGGGAGTTTCTCCGCCTCCGCCGTCGAAGTCCTCGTCGTCGGCCGGGGGCGCGTTGGGATCGGCCGCTTCCCCCGAGGCGAAGCCCGAGGGCTCCTCGCAGTCGGGGCCGCAGGATGCGGGCGAGCGGGGGGACCCCGGGGGGCGAGGGGGGGGGGACACGGGGCCCCCCCCAACCGGGGCCGCCGGCAGCACCAATTCACCGCCTGCAGAGACACAAAGGAAGGGGGGGGGGGGGGGGGGAGGAGACAGGGGAGGGGGGGTCCAAATGAGCCCCTGGCCCTGCCCCCCCGGCCCCCCGACCTCCCCCCCCGCCGCCGCCGCCGCTTCTCGAGCCGTGTTATGAGCATTATCATTACGATTATTAATTAACGTTATGTTAATGTGCGCTTTGATAAGAGCAAACCGCGGCGCTGCCACAACTTACATCGCGGGATGGGGCCGGGTGATTTTAGCGTGGAGGAAAAAGGAATTGCAGGAAGGAAGGGAAAGCACCCAAAAAAACAACAAACACAGGAGAGAGAGAGAACAGAGTAAGAGAAACAGAACACAAAGGAAAAGGAGAGAAGAGACACTCGGTGAGAAGGTGCCGCCGGGCAGCCCTGAGCCGGCCCCGGCCCGACAGCGGCAGCAGCCAGCGGGAGCCACGGAGCCCCGCACCGCTGCGCCGACAACAGCCATGGGAACAGCCAACGTCATCCATTCATCAGCCGTGGATGCATCATCCAGCATCATCCGGCATCGTCATCCCCCATCATCGCCCATCATCATCCATCATCATCCATCATCCATCATCCATCCATCAATCCATTGTCCGTCATCCATCCATCCATCATCCATCCATCATCATCCATTATCCATCCATCATCTGTCCATCCTTCATCCATTTATCACCTATCCATCATCCACCATCATCATCCATCCATCCATCATCCGTCCACTCATCCATGCATCCATCCATCCATCATTTATCCATCATCCATCCATCCATCATCCGTCCATCATCATCGATCATCTAGTCCATCCATCATCCATCATCCATCCATCCATCCATCCATCATCCATCATCCACCCATCCATCCATCATCCATCCATCATCCATCGTCCATCCGTTATCCATCATCCGTCCATCCATCATCCATCATCATCCATCATCCATCCATGCATCCGTCCATCCATCATCCATCCATCATGCATCCATCCTCCATCTTCTATCCATCCATTATACATCAACCTTCATCCATCCATCCATCCATCGTCCATTCATCACCCATTCATCATCCATCCATCCATCATCCATCCATCCATCCATTATCAATTCATCAATTCATAATCCATCCAATCAATCCATCATCCATCACCCATAATCCATTCATCCATCCATACATCATCCATCCATCCATCCATCCATCCATCCATCATCCATCCATCCATCCATCATCCATCCATCCATCATCCATCCATCCATCCATCATCCATCCATCCATCCATCCATCATCCATCCATCATCCATCCATCCATCATCCATCCATCCATCCATCCATCCATCCATCCATCATCCATCCATCCATCCATCCATCCATCCATCCATCCATCCATCATCCATCCATCCATCATCCATCCATCCAGCCATCCATCCATCCATCCATCATCCATTCATCCATCATCCATCCATCCATCCATCCATCCATCCATCCATCATCCATCCATCATCCATCCATCCATCATCCATCCATCATCCATCATCATCCATCCATCCATCATCCATCCATCCATCATCCATCCATCCATCCATCATCCATCCATCCATCCATCATCCATCCATCCATCCATCCATCCATCCATCCATCCATCCATCCATCCATCCATCCATCATCCATCCATCATCCATCCATCCATCATCCATCCATCATCCATCCATCCATCCATCCATCATCCATCCATCCATCCATCATCCATCCATCCATCCATCATCCATCCATCCATCCATCATCCATCCATCCATCCATCCATCCATCCATCATCCATCCATCCATCCATCCATCCATCATCCATCCATCATCCATCCATCATCCATCCATCCATCCATCATCCATCCATCCATCCATCATCCATCCATCCATCCATCCATCCATCCATCCATCCATCCATCCATCCATCATCCATCATCCATCCGTCATCCATCCATCATCCATCCATCCATCCATCCATCCATCCATCCATCCATCCATCCATCCATCCATCCATCCATCCATCCATCATCCATCCATCCATCCATCCATCCATCCATCCATCATCCATCCATCCATCCATCATCCATCCATCCATCGTTTGTCTTCGTTCCCTCCTTCATCTGTCTTCAATCCATCCATCATCCATCCATCCATCCATCCATCCATCATCCATCCATCCATCCATCCATCCATCCATCCATCCATCATCCATCATCCATCCATCATCCATCCATCATCCATCCATCCATCCATCATCCATCCATCATCCATCCATCCATCATCCATCCATCCATCCATCCATCCATCCATCCATCCATCCATCCATCCATCATCATCCATCCATCCATCCATCCATCCATCCATCATCCATTCATCCATTCATCCATCCATCCATCCATCCATCCATCATCCATCCATCCATCCATCATCCATCATCCATCCATCCATCCATCATCCATCCATCCATCCATCCATCCATCCATCATCCATCCATCCATCCATCATCCATCCATCATCCATTCATCCATCATCCATCCATCCATCCATCCATCCATCCATCCATCCATCCATCATCCATCCATCCATCCATCCATCCATCCATTCATCCATCATCCATCCATCCATTCATCCATCATCCATCCATCCATCCATCCATCCATCCATCCATCCATCATCCATCCATCATCCATCCATCATCCATCCATCCATCCATCATCCATCCATCATCCATCCATCCATCATCCATCCATCCATCCATCCATCCATCCATCCATCCATCATCCATCCATCCATCATCCATCCATCCATCCATCCATCCATCCATCCATCCATCCATCCATCCATCATCCATCATCCATCCATCCATCATCCATCCATCATCCATCCATCCATCCATCCATCCATCCATCCATCCATCCATCCATCCATCCATCATCCATCCATCCATCCATCCATCCATCCATCATCCATTCATCATCCATCCATCCATCATCCATCCATCATCCATCCATCCATCCATCCATCCATCCATCATCCATCCATCCATCCATCCATCATCCATCCATCATCCATCCATCCATCATCCATCCATCATCCATTCATCATCCATCCATCCATCATCCATCCATCATCCATCCATCCATCCATCCATCATCCATCCATCATCCATCCATCATCCGTCCATCCATCCATCCATCCATCCATCCATCCATCCATCCATCCATCATCCATCCATCCATCCATCATCCATCCATCATCCATCCATCATCCATCCATCCATCCATCCATCATCCATCCATCATCCATCCATCATCCATCCATCATCCATCCATCATCCATCCATCCATCCATCATCCATCCATCATCCATCCATCATCCATCCATCCATCCATCATCCATCCATCATCCATCCATCATCCATCCATCATCCATCCATCCATCATCCATCCATCCATCCATCCATCCATCCATCCATCCATCATCATCCATCCATCATCCATCCATCCATCATCCATCCATCCATCATCCATCCATCCATCCATCCATCCATCCATCCATCATCCATCCATCATCCATCCATCCATCCATCCATCATCCATCCATCATCCATCATCCATCATCCATCCATCCATCCATCCATCATCCATCCATCCATCATCCATCCATCCATCATCCATCCATCCATCCATCCATCCATCCATCCATCCATCATCCATCCATCCATCCATCCATCCATCATCATCCATCCATCCATCCATCCATCCATCATCCATCATCCATCCATCCATCCATCCCTTGCTCCATCCCTGTCTCCATCCCTGGCTGGATCCAGCCTTGGATCCTCCATCTCTTCCCCCCCTTTCTCCGTCCTCTGTCCATCGTCCGTCCATTGTCCGTCTGTCCCTGTGTCTCCCCCCAGCTGCTGCTGCCCTCTCCCCTTGGCTCTAGGGCAAATTAGGAGGTCCATGGGACACCCATGGGTGCTCTGGGGTCCAGGGGACACCCACAGGTGCTGGGGGGGGTCCATGGAACACTCATGGGTGCTGAGGGGTCCAGGGGACACCGATGGGCGCTGGGGGGGTGTAGAGGACACCCATGGGTGCTGGGGAAGCCAAGGGGTCCATGGGACACCCACAGGTGCTTGGGGGCTCCATGGGAAACCCATGGGTGCTGGAGGTGACCAAGATGTCCAGGGGACATCTACAGGTGCTGCGAGGGACAAGAACTCCATGAGGCACCCATGGGTGCTGGGGGTGTCCATGGGACCCCCAGGGGTGCTGTGGGGAACAAGAGGCCCATTGGCTACGCATGGGTGCGGGGGTGTCCATGGGGCACCCCTGGGTGCTGGGGGTGCCTGTGTGGGGTCTCGGGGCCCCCGTGGCCATCCCTTGTCCATCAGTCCATGGGGGAGCCTGTGCGGGTCACGCGTGTGTGCACGGAGCAGTGGGGAACACGCGTGTGCAGGCATGGGAGGGGCGGGGCTGCGGGGGGCACACGTGTGTGTGAGCAGGGCTGTGTGCGCGGGGCACGCGTGAGCGCTCTGCACGTGTGGTCACACGTGTGCGCACTGGACATGGAGCATGTGTGTGTGAGCGTGAACACGTGTGTGAGTGTGCACGTGTGTGAGTGTGCACGTGTGTGACTGCACGTGTGTGATTGTGCACAAGTGTGTTATTGTGCACGTGTGTGTGAGCGTGAACACGTGTGTGAGTGTGTGAGCGTGAACACGTGTGTGAGTGTGCACGTGTGTGAGTGTGCACGTGTGTGAGCGTGAACACGTGTGTGAGTGTGCATGTGTGTGAGCGTGAACACGTGAGTGTGCACGTGTGTGAGCGTGAACACGTGTGTGAGCGTGTGTGTGCACACGTGTGTTGTGCACGTTGTGCATGTGTGTGAGTGTGTGAGCGTGAACACGTGTGTGTGCACACGTGTGTTATTGTGCACATGTGTGTGACTGTGAACACGTGTGTGAGTGTGAGTGTGCACGTGTGTTATTGTGCACGTGTGTGAGCGTGAACACGTGTGTGAGTGTGCACGTGTGTTATTGTGCACGTGTGTGAGCGTGAACACGTGTGTGTGCACGTGTGTTATTGTGCACGTGTGTGAGCGTGAACACGTGTGTGTGTGCACGTGTGTTATTGTGCACGTGTGTGAGCGTGAACACGTGTGTGTGTGCACGTGAGTTATTGTGCACGTGTGTGTGACTGTGAACACGTGTGTGTGAGTGTGAACACGTGTGTGTGCACACGTGTTATTGTGCACGTGTGTGTGAGCGTGAACACGTGTGTGTGCACACGTGTGTTATTGTGCACATGTGCGTGAGCATGAACACGTGTGTGATTGTGCACAAGTGTGTTATTGTGCACGTGTGTGTGACTGTGAACACGTGTGTGCACACGTGTGTCATTGTGCACGTGTGTGTGACTGTGAACACGTGTGTGTGTGCACGTGTGTGTGCACAAGTGTGTTATTGTGCACATGTGTTTGACTGTGAACACATCTGTGTGATTGTGCACAAGTGTGTTATTGTGCACGTGATTGTGCACAAGTGTGTGATTGTGCACGTGTTATTGTGCACATGTGTGTCACTGATCACGTGTGTGTGTGTCACTGATCACATGTGTCACTGATCATGTGTGTGTCACTGATCATGTGTGTGTGTGTCACTGATCATGTGTGTGTGTCACTAATCATGTGTGTCACTGATCATGTGTGTGTGTCACCGATCACGTGTGTGTGTCACCGATCACGTGTGTGTGTGTCACCGATCACGTGTGTGTGTCACTGATCACGTGTGTGTCACTGATCATGTGTGTGTGTCACCGATCACGTGTGTGTCACTGATCACGTGTGTGTGTCACCGATCACGTGTGTGTCACCGATCACGTGTGTGTGCCACTGATCACGTGTGTCACCGATCACGTGTTGTGTCACGGTCACGTGTGTGTCAATGATCACGTGTGTGTCACCGATCACATGTGTGTGTCCCTGATCACGTGTGTGTGTCACTGATCACGTGTGTGTCACCGATCACGTGTGTGTCACTGATCACGTGTGTGTGTCACCGATCACGTGTGTGTCACCGATCACGTGTGTGTGCCACTGATCACGTGTGTCACCGATCACGTGTTGTGTCACGGTCACGTGTGTGTCAATGATCACGTGTGTGTCACCGATCACATGTGTGTGTCCCTGATCACGTGTGTGTGTCACTGATCACGTGTGTGTCACTGATCACGTGTGTCACTGATCACGTGTGTGTGTCACTGATCACGTGTGTGTGTCACTGATCACGTGTGTCACTGATCACGTGTGTGTCACTGATCACGTGTGTCACTGATCACGTGTGTGTGTCACCGATCACGTGTGTGTGTCACTGATCACGTGTGTGTGTCACTGATCACGTGTGTCACCGATCATGTGTGTGTGTGTCACTGATCACGTGTGTGTGTCACCGATCACGTGTGTGTCACTGATCACGTGTGTGTGTCAATGATCACGTGTGTGTCACTGATCACGTGTGTCACTGATCACGTGTGTGTCACTGATCACGTGTGTGTGTCACCGATCACGTGTGTGTCACCGATCACGTGTGTGTGCCACTGATCACGTGTGTCACTGATCACGTGTGTCACTGATCACGTGTGTGTCAATGATCACGTGTGTGTCACCGATCACATGTGTGTGTCCCTGATCACGTGTGTGTGTCACTGATCACGTGTGTCACTGATCACGTGTGTGTGTCACTGATCACGTGTGTGTCACTGATCACGTGTGTCACTGATCACGTGTGTGTGTCACTGATCACGTGTGTGTGTCACTGATCACGTGTGTCACTGATCACGTGTGTGTGTCACCGATCACGTGTGTGTGTCACCGATCACGTGTGTGTCACTGATCACGTGTGTGTGTCACTGATCACGTGTGTGTCACTGATCACGTGTGTGTGTCACCGATCACGTGTGTCACTGATCACGTGTTGTGTCACGGTCACGTGTGTGTCAATGATCACGTGTGTGTCACTGATCACGTGTGTGTGTCACTGATCACTTGTGTGTCACTGATCACGTGTGTCACTGATCACGTGTGTGTGTCACCGATCACGTGTGTGTGTCACTGATCACGTGTGTGTGTGTCACTGATCACGTGTGTGTCACCGATCACGTGTGTGTCACTGATCACGTGTGTGTCACTGATCACGTGTGTGTGTCACTGATCACGTGTGTGTCACTGATCACGTGTGTGTGTCACTGATCACGTGTGTGTCACTGATCACGTGTGTGTCACTGATCACGTGTGTGTGTCACTGATCACGTGTGTGTGTCACTGATCACGTGTGTGTGTCAGCGGCGCGGCCGCAGCCCGTGCACACCGGGGGGGCCGCACACGCGTGTGCCCGGTGCCGCGCTCGGGGGTCCCCCCGGGCCCGGGCCCGGAGCAGCACCCACCTGTGCCCGGCTCGCACTCCTCCAGGTCCTCGTCGTCGCTCGGGCACTCGGCCGAGGCCACCAGCAAATCATCCGTGTTCTGCGGGAACAGCGCGGGGTGCCGGGAACAGCGCGGACAGCCCAAAACACCCAGAAACAGACCCAAAACTGCCCCAAAACTGCCAAAAACAGCCCAGAGACAGCCCAAAACACCCAGAAACAGACCCAAAACTGCCCCAAAACTGCCAAAAACACCCAGAAACAAACCCAAAACAGCCCCAAAACTGCCCCGAAACAGCCCAGAGACAGCCCAAAACACCCAGAAACAGACCCAAAACTGCCCCAAAACAGCCCAAAACACCCAGAAACAGACGCAAAACTGCCCAAAACCAGCCCAAAACACCCAGAAACAGACCCAAAACTGCCCCAAAAGTGCCGAAAACACCCAGAAACAGACCCAAAACAGCCCCAAAACTGCCGAAAACACCCAGAAACAGACCCCAAACTGCCCCAAAACTGCCGAAAACACCCAGAAACAGACCCAAAACTGCCCCAAAACTGCCAAAAAACAGCCCAAAACCAGCCCCAAAGCACCCAGAAACCGCCCCGAAACTGTCTGAAACAGCCCAGAAACAGCCAAAACACCCAGAAACAAACCCAAAACAGCCCCAAAACTGCCCCGAAACAGCCTAAAACAGCCCAAAACACCCCGAAACAGCCCCAAAGCACCCCGAAACAGACCCAAAACTGCGAAAACAGCCCCAAAACAGCCCCAAAGCACCCAGAAACAGCCCCAAAGCACCCCGAAACAGCCTAAAACAGCCCAAAACACCCAGAAACAGCCCCGAAACAGCCTAAAACAGCCTAAAACACCCAGAAACAGCCCCAAAACTCCCAGAAACAGCCTCAAAACAGCCTAAAACAGCCTAAACCACCCAGAAACAGCCCCAAAACAGCCTAAAACAGCCTAAAACACCCAGAAACAGCCCCAAAACAGCCTAAAACAGCCCCGAAACTGCCCCAAAACAGCCCCAAAGTACCCCGAAACAGCCCCGAAACTGCCTAAAACAGCCTCGAAACAGCCCCAAAGCACCCAGAAACAGCCCCAAAACAGCCCCAAAACATCCCAGAACACCCAGAAACAGCCCTAAAACAGGCCCAAAACAGCCTAAAGCAGCCCCAAAACACCCAGAAACAGCCCCAAAACTCCCAGAAACAGCCCCGAAACTGCCTAAAACAGCCTAAAACAGCCCCAAAGCACAACGAAACAGCCCCGAAACAGCCTACAACAGCCCTAAAACACCCAGAAACAGCCCCAAAACAGCCTGAAACAGCCCACCCACCCCCCAGAGCACCCAGAAACAGCCACAAGACAGCCTAAAATACCCAGAAACAGCCCCAAAACACCCAGAAACAGCCCCGAAACAGCCCAAAACACCCCCAGAGCAACCAGAAACAGGCGCCAAACAGCCTAAAATACCCAGAAACAGCCCCAAAACAGCCTAAAACAGCCCAAAACACCCCCAAAGCACCCCAAAATAGCCCAAAACACCCCCAAAACACCCAGAAACAGCCTAAAACAGCCCAAAACACCCCCAAAGCACCCAGAAACCGCCCCAGAACAGCCAAAAAAACACCCAGAAACACCCCCGGAACAGCCTAAAACAGCCCCAAACACCCAGAAACAGCCCCAAAACAGATCAGAAACAGCCAAATACACCCCCAAAACAGCCTAAAAACAGCCGAAAACTACCCAAAACCAGTCAAAACTAGCCAAAACCACTCCAAAACTACCCCCAAACAGCCAAAACCAGACCAAAACCACCTCAAGACACCCCCAAAACAGCCTAAAACAGCCCAAAACATCCCAAACCACCCCAAACCACCCAAAAACAGCCAAAACCACCCCAAACCCACCCTAAAGAGCCCCAAAACAGCCGAAACCACTCCAGAAACACCCCAAAACCAGCCTGAAACACTCCAAAGCCACCTCAAAACACCCCAAAAGCATCACAAGAGCCCAAAACGCCCCTGAAACACCTGAAAACGCCTCAAAACCTCCCCAGAACACCGCAAACCCACACAAATACCTGCCTAAAATATGCCCAAACACCCCAAAACACTCTTAGAACACCTCAAACCACCTCAAAACCAGCCCTCAACACTCCAAAACCACCTCAAAACACCCCAAAACCAGCCCTAAACACCCCCAAACCTCCTGGAAACACCCCAGAAACACCTCAAAACACTCCAAACCCACTCAAAACGTCCCCAAACCACCCCAAAACCATCCCAAGGACACCCAATGGGTGCTGGGGGACCCCAAAGACACCCAAACCCCCTTCACCCAATGCCTTCCCCCCCACAATGGGTGCTGGGTGACCCCAAGGGTACCCAAACCCCCCTCACCCAATGGGTGCTGGGGGACCCCAAAGACACCCAGAGACCCCTCAAAGACACCCACAGACATCCAAAACCCCTTTAAAGCCACCCAGTGGGTGCTGGGGGACCCCAAAGACACCTAACCCCCCCCTCCCCTTCACTCAATGGGTGCTGGGTGGCCCCAAAGACACCCAAACCCCCTTCCACACACCCCCCCCCCCGCAATGGGTGCTGGGTGACCCCAAAGACACCCAAAGGTACCCAAACCCCCCCACCCAATGGGTGCTGCCTGACCCCAAAGGCACCCAACCCCCCCCTTCCTTCACTCAATGGGTCCTGGGTGACCCCAAAGACACCCAACCCCCCCCCACCCAATGGGTGCTGGCTGACCCCAATCCCCCCTTCCCTTCACCCAAGGGGTGCTGGGTGACCTCAAGGGTACCCAAACCCCTTCACCCAATGGGTGCTGGCTGACCCCAAACCCCCCCACCCTCCTTCACCCAATGGGTACTGGCTGACCCCAAAGACACCCAATGGGTGCTGGGTGACCCCCAAGCTGCCCCCCTACCCTTCACCCAATGGGTGCTGGCTGACCCCAGCTCCCCCCCCCATGGGTGCTGGCTGACCCCCAAACCCCCCCACCCTCCTTCACCCAATGGGTGCTGGGTGACCCCATCTCCCCCCCCCAATGGGTGCTGGCTGACCCCAAACCCCCCCCTCCCCTTTCACCCCATGGGTGCTGCCTGACCCCCAACCCCCCCCTCCCCTTTCACCCCATGGGTGCTGGCTGACCCCCAAACCCCCCCACCCTCCTTCACCCCATGGGTGCTGGCTGACCCCAAACCCCCCCCTCCCCTTCACCCCATGGGTGCTGGCTGACCCCAACCCCCCCCTCCCCTTTCACCCAATGGGTGCTGGGTGACCCCAAAGACACCCAACCCCCCCCACCCAATGGGTGCTGGCTGACCCCAGCTCCCCCCACCATGGGTGCTGGCTGACCCCAACCCCCCCCCCTCCCCTTTCACCCCATGGGTGCTGGCTGCCCCCCAACCCCCCCCTCTCCCCCCATACCTGCGCCACGGTGTCCCTTAGGGTGGGCGAGCGCCCTCTGCGCGTGGTGGTGGTGGCCATGGTGGTCGTGGTCTCCATGATGGTCGTGGCCATGTCGGGGGGGGCCGGGGTAGCCCCGGGGGGGGCTGGGGGGGGAGGCGGCGGAGCCCCCACGAGGCGGAGGTCGCCCTCGATCCGCACCCTCGGGTGCCCCTCGGCCGCCAGCGCCAGCAGCTTGAGGCCGTTGTAGTAAAGCCCCGAGAGCTGCCCCTGGAAGGGGCGGCCCCGGTCCCGGCCCCCCACTCGCACGGACGCCTGGCTGTTGAAGATGGTGAGCTGGCGGCCTGCGGGACGGAGCGCGGAGCTGCGGCGGGGGGGGGCTCGGAGCCGGAACTGAGAAATGGGGGGGGGGGGGGGGAGCCCCGGGTGTGGGGGGATGGGGGGGGATGTGCAAAGGTTGGGGGGGGGGATGTGTGAGGGATGGGGGGGGATGGAAGGGGTGTGTGAGGGATGGGGGGGAGGCACAAGGGATGTGATGCACAAGGGATGTGATGCACAAGGGTTATGGGGTGATGCACAAGGGTTATGGGGATGCACAAGGGTTATGGGGTGATGCACAAGGGATGTGATGCACAATGGTTATGGGGATGCACAATGGATTTGATGCACAAGGGTTATGGGGATGCACAAGGGCTATGGGGTGATGCACAAGGTTTATGGGGTGTGATGTGCAAGGGGTGTGATGTGCAAGGGCTATGGGGTGATGCACAAGGGATGTGATGCACAAGGGATGTGATGCACAAGGGATGTGATGCACACGGGTTATGGGTGATGCACAAGGGTTATGGGGTGATGCACAAGGGTTATGGGGTGATGATCAAGGGCTATGGGGATGCACAAGGGTTATGGGGATGCACAAGGGTTATGGGGATGCACAAGGGCTATGGGGTGATGCACAAGGTTTATGGGGTGTGATGTGCAAGGGGTGTGATGTGCAAGGGTTATGGGGTGATGCACAAGGGATGTGATGCACAAGGGATGTGATGCACAAGGGTTATGGGGTGATGCACAAGGGTTATGGGGTGATGCACAAGGGTTATGGGGATGCACAAGGGTTATGGGGTGATGCACAAGGGTTATGGGGATGCACAAGGGATGTGATGCACAAGGGATGTGATGCACAACGGTTATGGTGATGCACAAGGGTTATGGGGTGATGCACAAGGGTTATGGGGTGATGCACAAGGGATGTGATGCACAAGGGTTATGGGGTGATGCACAAGGGATGTGATACACAAGGGTTATGGGGATGCACAAGGGATGTGATGCACAAGGGTTATGGGGATGCACAAGGATTATGGGGATGCACAACAGTTATGGGGTGATGCACAAGGGTTATGGGGATGCACAACAGCTATGGGGTGATGCCCAAGGGTTGTGATGCACAGGGGTTATGGGGTGTGCAATGCACAAGGGCCATGGGGAGCTGTACAAGTGGTTTGATGCTCAAGGGTTATGGGGTGATGCTCAAGGGTTATGGGGTGTGATGTGCAAGGGGTGTGATGCACAAGGGTTATGGGGTGACACACAAGGGTTGTGATGCACGAGGTTTATGGGGTCATGCACAGGGGTTATGGATCTCTTGTGCACACCCATCCCTTGTGCCAGCCCCCCTCTTGCACCCCCCCCATGCCCCCCCCCCCCACCTCTTCCTCCCCCCCCCCCCCCGGTGCCGCTGTGGGTTTATGCTGGTTTAAGCTGGTTTATGCTGGTTTAGGGCCGGGGCCGGCAGCACTCGAAGGGTTAAAGCGCGGTTTAAGGGGCCGTTAATGGGGCAGAGCCCCCAGCGGTCAGTGGGGACAATGGGGACAATGGGGTCAATGGGACCCCCTCGGGACAACGGGGTCCTGGGGATGTGGGACCTGGATCCATGGGGCCGGGTGTCTGGGTCCTCAGAGATGTGGGGCCCGGACACCCTCATCCCTGGAGCTGCGGGGCCCAGATCTATGGGTCCAGAGACCTGCGAGCTCCAGATCCATGGGTCCTCAGCCCTGAAGCTCCCAGATCCATGGGGCCCAGATGCCTGGGTCCCCAGATCTGTGGGTGCCCAGACCTATGGGTCCCACACCTCTGGGTTTCCAGATCTCTGGATGCCCACATCCATGGGTCCCCAGTCTGCGGGTCCCAGCCCCGTGGGCACGGGGCCTGCGGGGTGCTCTGGGGGGCGCCGTGGGGCGCTGTGGGGCGGGCGGGGGGTGCTCTCTGCCGGGTTACCTTTGTCGAGCAGCCACTCATCGACCACCCGCCCCAGGCGGAAGGGGATGCGCTGCCGCGCCAGCGCCAGCCGCTCGCTGTCCCCGCTGCCTTCGGAGGGAGGAGAAGAGCGTTACGGGGCCAGGCCACGGCGGTACCACCGCGGGGCCATGGTGCCACCGGTGGCATCGCCACTGGCATCGCCATCGGCATCGCCATCATGGGACCACGGAGGCATCGCCATCGGCATCGCCATCAAGGGACCATGGTTGCATCGCCATCGGCATCGCCATCATGGGACCATGGCGGCATCGCCATTGGCATCGCCATCAAGGGACCATGGTTGCATCGCCATTGGCATCGCTGTTGGCATCACCATTGGCATCACCATTGGCATCGCCATCATGGGACCACAGTTGCATCGGCATTGCCATCAAGGGACCATGGTTGCATCGCCATTGGCATCGCCATCAAGGGACCATGGTTGCATCGCCATCGGCATCGCCATCAAGGGACCATGGTTGCATCGCCATCGGCATCACCATCATGGGACCATGGTTGCATCGCCATTGTCATCGCTATCATGGGACCATGGTTGCATTGCCATTGGTATCGCCATTGTCATCACCATTGGCATCACCATCGGCATCGCCATCAAGGGACCATGGTTGCATCGCCATCGGCATCGCCATCATGGGACCATGGTTGCATTGCCATTGGCATCGCCATTGGCATCGCCATCATGGGACCATGGTTGCATCGCCATTGGCATCACTACTGGCATCAACATTGGCATCGCCATCATGGGACCATGGTTGCATCGCCATTGGCATTGCCATCATGGGACCACGGTTGCATCGCCATTGGCATCACTACTGGCATCAACATTGGCATCGCCATCATGGGACCATGGTTGCATCGCCATTGGCATCGCCATCATGGGACCATGGCGGCATCGCCATTGGCATCGCCATCATGGGACCATGGTTGCATCGCCATTGGCATCACCATCATGGGACCATGGCGGCATTGCCATTGGCATCGCCATCATGGGATCATGGTCGCATCGCCATCAGCATTGCCATCAAGGGACCATGATGGCATCACTGCATCACTGGTGACATCACCACTGGCATCACCATGGTGTTCCACAAGGTCACCATGGGCATCACCATCAAGGAACCATGGTGGGATCATGGCATCACTGGTGGCATCTTCACTGACATCACCATTGGCATCACCATCATGGGACCATGGTGGCATCACCGTTGGCATCACCATCATGGAACCATGGTGGGATCATGGCGTCACTGGTGGCATCATCACTGACATCACCATTGGCATCACCGTGGTGTTCCACAGGGTCACCATTAGCATCACCATCATGGGACCATGGTGGCATCACCGTTGGCACCACCATCATGGAACCATGGTGGCATCACCGTTGGCATCACCGTTGGCATCACCATCATGGGACCATGGTGGCATCACCATTGGCATCACCGTTGGCATCACCATCATGGAACCATGGTGGCATCACCGTTGGCATCACCGTTGGCATCACCATCATGGAACCATGGTGGCATCACCGTTGGCATCACCGTGGTGTTCCACAGGGTCACCATTGGCGTCACCATCGTGGAACCACGGTGAGGTCATGGCCTCACCGGTGGCATCAGAATCACAGCGGTGGGATGGCGGCATCGCCGTTGGCATCACCATCACGGGACCATGGTGGGATTGTGACGTCACTGGTGACATCACCATTGGTGCTCCCAAGGGTCACCAGTGCCATCACCATCACGGGACCATGGTGGCATCACGTCACTGGTGACATCACCATTGGTGCTCCCAAGGGTCACCAGTGGCATCGCCATCACGGGGCCATGGTGGGATCGTGACGTCACTGGTGACATCACCATTGGTGCTCCCAAGGGTCACCAGTGGCATCACCATCACGGGACCATGGTGGGATCGTGACGTCACTGGTGACATCACCATTGGTGCTCCCAAGGGTCACCAGTGGCATCACCATCATGGGACCATGGTGGGATCGTGACGTCACTGGTGACATCACCATTGGTGCTCCCAAGGGTCACCAGTGCCATCACCATCACGGGACCATGGTGGGATCGTGACGTCACTGGTGACATCACCATTGGTGCTCCCAAGGGTCACCAGTGGCATCACCATCACGGGACCATGGTGGGATCGTGACGTCACTGGTGACATCACCATTGGTGCTCCCAAGGGTCACCAGTGCCATCACCATCACGGGACCATGGTGGGATCATGACGTCACTGGTGACATCACCATTGGTGCTCCCAAGGGTCACCAGTGCCATCACCATCACGGGACCATGGTGGCACCGCGGTGTCACCACGGGGGGGTGGGGGGGGTTTAGGTGGCGTTTAGGGGGGGCGTTAAGGGGGGTGTCCCCGGGGTCCCCTCATGCCCTTCGTTAGTGCCCTGGTTAGCGGGGGGCCCTAATTAGGGGACTGCAGGGGTGCTGGGGGGGGGCTATGGGGTGTCTATAGGTGCTATAGGGGTCCTCTGGGGGTCCTGGAGGCGCCCTGGGGACGTCATGGGGGTGCGGTAGGGTGCCCCTGGCACTGTGGGGTGCTCTGGGGGGGCCTTAGGGGTGCTGTAAGGACACGGCAGTGGGGTGCCCACCACCATAGGGGTGCTGTAGGGTGCCTGTATGTGCCATAGGGTGCCCTTGGGGTGCCTGTAGGCGCCATAGGGGTGCCCTAGGGTGCCTGTATGTGCTATAAGGTGATATGGGGTGCCATGGGGTGCCTGTATGTGCCCTAGGGTGCCATAGGGGTGCCATAGGGTGCCTGTAAATGCCATAGGGTGGCTGTATGTGCCATAGGGTGCCATAGGGGTACCCTAGGGTGCCTGTATGTGCCTAGGGTGCTATAGGGTGCCTGTATGTGCCCTAGGGTGCCCTAGGGTGCCTGTATGTGCCTAGGGTGCTATAGGGTGCCTGTATGTGCCCTAGGGTGCCATAGGGTGCCATAGGGTGCCTGTATGTGCTAAAAGGTGCCCTAGGGGTCCCATAGGGTGCCTGTATGTGCCCTAGGGTGCTCTTGGGGTACCATAGGGTGCCCTAGGGTGTCTGTATGTGCCCTAGGAGTGCCATAGGGTGCCTGTAGGTGCTATAAGGTGCCCTAGGGGTGCCATAGGGTGCCCTACGGTGCCTGTATGTGCCATAGGGTGCCATAGGGTGCCTGTATGTGCCCTAGGAGTGCCCTATGGTGCCTGTATGTGCCATACGGTGCCTGTATGTGCTATAAGGTGCCCTAGGCCCTAGGGATGCCATAGAGTGCCTGTAAGTGCCATAGGGTGCCCTAGGGGTGCCATAGGGTGCCTGTAAGTGCCATAGGGTGCCCTAGGGGTGCCATAGGGTGCCTGTAAGTGCCATAGGGTGCCATAGGGTGCCTGTAAGTGCCATAGGGTGCCATAGGGTGCCTGTATGTGCTAAAAGGTGCCCTAGGGTGCCCTAGGGTGCCTGTATGTGCCATAGGGTGCCACAGGGTGCCTGTATGTGCTATAATTGATATGGGGTGACATAGGGTGCCTGTATATGCCATAGGGTGCCATAAGGTGCCTGTATGTGCCCTAGGGGTGCCATAAGGTGCCTGTATGTGCCCTAGGGTGCCTGTATGTGCTATAAGGTGCCCTAGGGGTGCCATAGGGTGCCTGTATGTGCCATAGGGTGCCATAGGGGTGCTATAGGGTGCCCTAGGGGTGCCCTAGGGTGCCTGTAAGTGCCATAGGGTGCCTGTATGTGCCATAGGGTGCCATAGGGGTGCTACAGGGTGCCCTAGGGTGCCTGTATGTGCTATAAGGTGCCCTAGGGGTGCCCTAGGGTGTCTGCATGTGCCCTAGGGTACACTTAGGGGTGCCCTATGGTGCCTGTAAGTGCCATAGGGTGCTGGTAAGTGCCATAGGGTGCCTGTATGTGCCATAGGGTGCCATACGGTGTCTGTATGTGCTATAAGGTGCTATAGGGTGCCCTAGGGTGCCTGTATGTGCTATAAGGTGCCATAGGGGTGCCCTAGGCTGCCTGTATGTGCTATAAGGTGATATGGGGTGCCATAGGGTGCCTGTATGTGCCATAGGGTGCCTAGGGGTGCTATAAGGTGTCTGTATGTGCCCTAGGGTGCCTGTATGTGCCATAGGGTGCCATACGGTGTCTGTATGTGCTATAAGGTGCCCTAGGAGTGCCCTAGGGTGTCTGCATGTGCCCTAGGGTACACTTAGGGGTGCCCTATGGTGCCTGTAAGTGCCATAGGGTGCCTGTATGTGACACAGGGTGCCATACGGTGTCTGTATGTGCTATAAGGTGCTATAGGGTGCCCTAGGGTGCCTGTATGTGCTATAAGGTGATATGGGGTGCCCTAGGGTGCCTGTATGTGCCTTAGGGCACCACAGGGTGTCTGTATGTGCTATAAGGTGCCTTAGGGTGCCCTAGGGTGCCTGTATGTGCCATAGGGTGCCTGTATGTGCTATAAGGTGCCATAGGGGTGCCCTAGGGTGCCTGTATGTGCCTAGGGTGCCTGTATGTGCCATAGGGTGCCTGTATGTGCTATAAGGTGATATGGGGTGCCCTAGGGTGCCTGTATGTGCCCTAGGGTGCCTGTATGTGCTATAAGGTGCCCTAGGGGTGCCATAGGGTGCCTGTATGTGCCATAGGGTGCCATAGGGGTGCTATAGGGTGCCCTAGGGGTGCCCTAGGGTGCCATGGCGCAGTGCATAGGGTGCCACACTATAAGGTGCCACAGAGTGCCCTAGGGTGCCTGTATGTGCCCTAGGGTGCCATAGGGGTGCTATAGGGTGCCCTAGGGTGCCTGTATGTGCCCTAGGGTGCCTGTATGTGCTATAAGGTGCCCTAGGGGTGCCATAGGGTGCCTGTATGTGCTTTAGGGTGCCATAGGGTGCCTGTATGTGCCATAGGGGCGCCCCAGGGGTGCCATAGGGTGCCTGTATGTGCTATAAGGTGCCATAGGGGTGCCCTAGGCTGCCTGTATGTGCTATAAGGTGATATGGGGTGCCATAGGGTGCCTGTATGTGCCATAGGGTGCCTGTATGTGCTATAAGGTGCCCTAGGGGTGCCCTAGGGTATCTGTATGTGCCATAGGGTGCCCTAGGGTGCCTGTATGTGCCATAGGGTGCCCTAGGGTGCCTGTATGTGCCATAGGGTGCCCTAGGGTGCCTGTATGTGCCATAGGGTGCCTGTATGTGCCATAGGGTGCCTGTATGTGCTATAGGGTGCCTGTATGTGCTATAAGGTGCCCTAGGGGTGCCATAGGGTGCCTGTATGTGCCATAGGGTGCCTGTATGTGCTATAAGGTGATATGGGGTGCCCTAGGGTGCCTGTATGTGCCCTAGGTGTGCGCGCCAGGGGAGCTGCGTGGCGGCGCGGGGTACCTGGGGGGTAGCGCTCGTGCAGGGGGCCCCCGTCCAGCTGCAGGGTGGCGTTGCCGCCGCTGCGGGTGAAGCGCACGACGTGGAAGCGGCCGTCGCTGACCGGGGCCGCGCGCTCCTCCAGGGCGATGTCCTCGGTGCCCACGTTGAAGAGCACCCCCACGGCCCCCTGCGCCTGCGGGGGGGGGGGTTGGGTCCGCGCCCCACATGGGGAACCCGCCATGGCGAGCAACAGCGACACCCACACACAGCGACATCGCCCCCCATTGCCCCCCATAGCCCCATTGCCCCCCATAGACACATCACCCCCATAGCACCATCACCCCCATAGCACCATCACCCCCATAGCACCATCACCCCCATAGCCCCATTGCCCCCCATTGCCCCATCACCCCCATAGCACCATCAACCCCATAGCACCATCACCTCCATAGCACCATCACCCCCATAGCACCATCACCCCCATAGCCCCATCGCCCCCATAGCACCATTGCCCCCCATAGCCCCATTGCCCCCCATAGCACCATCACCCCCATAGCACCATCACCCCCATAGCCCCATTGCCCCCCATAGCCCCATCACTCCCCATAGCCACATCACCCCCCCTAGCACTGTCACACCCTATAGCCCCACCACACCCCCATAGCCCCAGCAACCCCCATAGCCCCAGCGACCCCCCATCACCCCCCCCAAATCCCCGTCACACCCCATAGCCCCATCACCCCCCATAGCCCTATCGCCCCCCCATAGCCCCATCGCCCCCCAGAGCCCCATCACCCCCCAGAGCCCCATTACCCCCCTATAGCCCCATCACCCCCCATAGCCCCATCGCCCCCCATAGCCCCACTACCCCCATAGACCCATCACCCCCCATACTCCCATTACTCCCCATAGCCCCATCACCCCCCAGTAGCCCCATTACCCCCCATAGACCCAACACCCCCCATAGCCCCATTGCCCCCCATAGCCCCATCACCCCCCAATAGCCCCATCGCCCCCCATAGCCCCATCAGCACCCATTACCCCCCATAGCCCCCTCACCCCCATAGCCCCATCAGCCCCCATCCCCCCCCATAGCCCCAATACCCCCATTTCCACCATACTCCAAATGCCCCCCTCCAGCCCCCCAACTCCCCTATTCCCCCTTTTCACTGTGGAGCTACAGGCAGCCCCCCCATAGACCCATCACCCCCCATGACCCCCATGCCCTGCACACCCCCATCACCCTCACAGCCCCCCATAACTCTCCATGTCCCCATCACCCCCATGTCCCCATAGCCCCCCACGTCCCCCCATCACCCCATAACCCCCATTCCCTCCATCACTCCCGTGCCCATCAGGT